GGCCCGGTGAGGAGTGACGGGGAGGTGGTTAGGCCTGGTGAGGAGTGACGGGGAGGTGGTTAGGCCCGGTGAGGAGTGACGGGGAGGTGGTTAGGCCCAGTCAGGAGTGTCCAGGCCTGGTGAATAGATGATGGTGAATAGACTCTGAGTAAGAGGTGTTGGGGGGCCATTGCCTGTCCTGACCCCTCGGCATCCTCTGGTACTGTGGCCCCTGCTGGTAAATGGGCCCTTGTCTTCCCTACAGGTGCAGTCAGTGAGGGGTGTGCGCAGTGCCGACGGAGATTTCCCCTTTGAGATCGTCATGAAGAATGGAAAACGGAAATTATTGGTGAGGTGCCACATGTCCCCCGGTCTGTGATCCACGCGGAGGCCAGGCCTGGTGACACGGTATTGTCATGTGATATGTAGGATTGTGTATCATGGGCTCCATAGAGAGGGAGGGGCTTTGCTCCAGCTCCTCTGCGGATTTCCTGCTCCCCGATTGGTTATTACACACACTTCAAGGACACAACATTTCTATCCAAATCAGAGCCGGAGCCAATCCAACCCTGACATCATAGACGTGTCCTGTGGAAGCGTGTTGTCACATTACACCGTTTGTATACCGGAGGTACGGATGATGGTCATACATGTCCCACCCCGAGATACCGGCCGGGGAGACATGGAGAGCGCAGGACATGAGAGACATACTGCCACGCCAGCCTGGTCCACCATTATGGGAGGTGGGGGAGGGGAGCACTGTGATGTTTCTGCTACGGTATATGTCAGCTCTATATCTCCATCAGAGTGCCGAGTCAGCGGATCTGCGGGACGTGTGGATAAAACTCCTGTGGAAGTCCATGCAGCTGCCAGGACCCGGGCGACACAACTCATCATGTACCTGGTACCCGATTTCTCTTCTTCTTGTCTTCCCTTGGTGTATGTTGTACAGTACGTGGTCACACGGGGACACGGGATTCCCATGTTCACAGATCAGTGTCGCTCAATGAACTTACCAGGTTCTACCGACCTCATGGAGCAACCGGAACATCCAATGCTTCCACCAAAAGACCTCTGGAGGCAAACCCGTCCAGTCTGTTGTTGACTTTGCAGGCCAAGTGATCCATATCTGAGGGTAGAGGACCATCCCCCTGGGTCCAGTAGTCTGAGTGTAGAGGACCATTCCCCTGGGTCCAGTAGTCTGCAGTAGTCTGGGTGTAGAGGACTATCCCCCTGGGTCCAGTAGTCTGGGTGTAGAGGACCATCTCCCTGGGTCCAGTAGTCTGGGTGTAGAGGACCATCTCCCTGGGTCCAGTAGTCTGGGTGTAGAGGACCAAAATCCCTGGGTCCAGTAGTCTGGGTGTAGAGGTCCATCCCCCTGGGTCCAGTAGTCTGCAGTAGTCTGGGTGTAGAGGTCCATCCCCCTGGGTCCAGTAGTCTGCAGTAGTCTGGGTGTAGAGGACCATCCCCCTGGGTGCAGTAGTCTGCAGTAGTCTGGGTGTAGAGGACCATCTCCCTGGGTCCAGTAGTCTGGGTGTAGAGGTCCATCCCCCTGGGTCCAGTAGTCTGGGTGTAGAGGTCCATCCCCCTGGGTCCAGTAGTCTGCAGTAGTCTGGGTGTAGAGGACCATCCCCCTGGGTGCAGTAGTCTGGGTGTAGAGGACCATCCCCCTGGGTGCAGTAGTCTGCAGTAGTCTGGGTGTAGAGGACCATCCGCCTGGGTGCAGTAGTCTGGGTGTAGAGGACCATCTCCCTAGGTGCAGTAGTCTGGGTGTAGAGGTCCATCCCCCTGGGTCCAGTCGTCTGGGTGTAGAGGTCCATCCCCCTGGGTCCAGTAGTCTGCAGTAGTCTGTGTGTAGAGGACCATTCCCCTGGGTCCAGTAGTCTGCAGTAGTCTGGGTGTAGAGGACCATCCCCCTGGGTGCAGTAGTCTGCAGTAGTCTGGGTGTAGAGGACCATCCCCCTGGGTGCAGTAGTCTGGGTGTAGAGGACCATCTCCCTAGGTGCAGTAGTCTGGGTGTAGAGGTCCATCCCCCTGGGTCCAGTAGTCTGCAGTAGTCTGTGTGTAGAGGACCATCCCCCTGGGTCCAGTAGTCTGGGTGTAGAGGACCATCCCACTGGGTGCAGTAGTCTGCAGTAGTCTGGGTGTAGAGGACCATCTCCCTGGGTGCAGTAGTCTGGGTGTAGAGGTCCACCCCCCTGGGTGCAGTAGTCTGGGTGTAGAGGTCCATCCCCCTGGGTCCAGTCGTCTGGGTGTAGAGGTCCATCCCCCTGGGTCCAGTAGTCTGCAGTAGTCTGGGTGTAGAGGACCATTCCCCTGGGTCCAGTAGTCTGCAGTAGTCTGGGTGTAGAGGACCATCCCCCTGGGTGCTTTAGTCTGCAGTAGTCTGGGTGTAGAGGACCATCTCCCTGGGTCCAGTAGTCTGGGTGTAGAGGACCAAAATCCCTGGGTCCAGTAGTCTGGGTGTAGAGGTCCATCCCCCTGGGTCCAGTAGTCTGCAGTAGTCTGGGTGTAGAGGTCCATCCCCCTGGGTCCAGTAGTCTGCAGTAGTCTGGGTGTAGAGGTCCATCCCCCTGGGTCCAGTAGTCTGCAGTAGTCTGGGTGTAGAGGACCATCCCCCTGGGTGCAGTAGTCTGGGTGTAGAGGACCATCCCCCTGGGTGCAGTAGTCTGCAGTAGTCTGGGTGTAGAGGACCATCCGCCTGTGTGCAGTAGTCTGGGTGTAGAGGACCATCTCCCTAGGTGCAGTAGTCTGGGTGTAGAGGTCCATCCCCCTGGGTCCAGTAGTCTGCAGTAGTCTGTGTGTAGAGGACCATCCCCCTGGGTCCAGTAGTCTGGGTGTAGAGGACCATCCCACTGGGTGCAGTAGTCTGCAGTAGTCTGGGTGTAGAGGACCATCTCCCTGGGTGCAGTAGTCTGGGTGTAGAGGTCCATCCCCCTGGGTGCAGTAGTCTGGGTGTAGAGGTCCATCCCCCTGGGTGCAGTAGTCTGGGTGTAGAGGTCCATCCCCCTGGGTGCAGTAGTCTGGGTGTAGAGGACCATCCCCCTGGGTGCAGTAGTCTGGGTGTAGAGGACCATCCCCCTGGGTGCAGTAGTCTGTGTGTAGAGGTCCATCCCCCTGGGTGCAGTAGTCTGGGTGTACCACGTGGAGCCTCCCGGGATGTCCGTTCCCATCAGTGTTCATGTCATACATGTGTACATGGGAGGACACGTTAGATCACAGGAAGTGATAACACGCTGCTGGTTGGTGATGTCAGAGTTCACATGTAAGGTCTCTCTGTAGGTATGACATCCCAGAGCTCATCCAACGTGTCAGCTGCTCCTCCGCAGACGGCCGGCCGCTGGCGGTAACCGAGGAGAACAATCTGAAGGACGATGTCTTTGAGCAGCCTGCAGGGGCCGCACAGACTGCTGGTAAGCAGATAACACGCATGAGACACAGCTACACGCCCTCAGGGAACACGGAGTGCCAACATGGAAACCTTTGCTGCATGGCTCTGGTCAGAGTTCTTGTAACATTTCCATATTTCAGGGACAGATTCATAGCTTCTCCTCTTCCCATCTGTATAGCAGGCAGTGCAGTCAGCACCATGCCGCTAAGACCAGAGATCCTGGTAGGAGGCAGCACATCCCTCCATGAGGCTCACGTTGGTGTAGCGGTGTACAATGTAGCGTGTTCTGGCTAGATGGATTTCTGCTTCTCTCTTGTCTCTGTAGGAAGTGATGACAACAGCGGTCCTGATGCTGCGTATGACACCCCAAAATTCCTCCACACTGTGCAGCCGCTATACGCCGGTAAGAGGAAGGGAATGGATGTGATGTACCTCATGTCCTGGCTGTGGGGG